GCTGTTAGTGTTCCCATTTTATAGATGAGAAGACTGAGACACAGAGGAGTTAAGAAACTTGCCCAAAGTCCTCTAAATTGGAAATAGAGGAGTAGGGATTTTTACTAAGTCAGTCTGACTCTAAACATTTTGATTTTAAGTAATGTGTTATTGTCTCTGTATTACTGTTTCCCTAACAACGGTAAATAGCTGTTCCTTTCTTATAAAGTCAGAGTATGGCTATGGCCGCCCACACTATTGCAGGGGTGAGAAACACGGCCAGAATCAGTAGGGACTCTGAAGACCGAATAAATGGATGGCTCCCTCAGGAGTATAAATGTCAAGTACAAGCAGAAAGGGGCTTTGGTGGAGGGCACCGCCATTCTGCAAAACAGATCATATTTAAGGTCAGCTGTTCATGGTCACGGACACCTTGTTTTTTTTTTTTTTAAATCCCTGACATTTCTGTGATCTGAATTAGAACATGTGTGTAGCAGTTTTAGGTGCCACAGTAACATGACTTAACCCTTCCATCTCTGCCTTCCCCATGCCCTTGTCCCCAGCGATACAATGGCTCACTGAGTGAGCCCTGTATACTGCTACTTACCACCATTTTATACCTTTTTTGTTCATAATTATTTCTTGGCTTTCCAGGCATGGGAAGGGGTTGCCTGAGCACAAGTCTTTGCACACAGTGGGTGTTCAGTACATGTGGCTGGTGTACCAAGAAGAAAAAAAGAAAAACATTGCCAGAAAGACAACTCCCTGGGGTCCGGGAAACTAAATTATAACAAGTCAATAATTTACCCTTAAAGGGTATTTTTTTATACATTTGTAGCATGGGAAATAGAATAATAAAAAATTCTCTTTAGATATCATGTATATTGTTTCCAAATAATTTGCTCTTTTTTTTTTCTTATAATGAAAATTCTAACACTGTTGAGATGGTATAAATACATTGGTTACGTTAGAGTAATCTCAAAAATGTCCAACAAAGTTTCTCAAGAATTTTATCATTCTCTATTTATCTTAAAGCAGTGCTCATAAAGAGGTGTAACTATTATCATGGTGTGACAAAACCCATATAACAGGGTTTTGATGTCCCTGTTACATTACGGTCATAACATTCCTTTTATAAGAAAGGACAGGCAGGTTTACCACTCCAGTATAACCAGGCAAGGCACTTGGAAAGCTTCCGTAAGTCTTATAAGGCGATGGTGTCCTCTTTAGTAAATGACTACTTCTGTGTGCTAAGTAGTATGATCCTAAAGTTCCCATTGGAACCAAATTCTTAGCTCAGTTCTGGAAATACCACTAATCAATTGGGGAAATCCTAATAAGAAATGATTGGATTGACTAGATTTTGGGTGTTTCTCTGAACAACATCTTAATCTACAACTTTGTGGTATGTCAGGACCGGAAGTGAAACCACGCCATAGCAAGAAGGTAATAAGGGTGTTTTTCTCAATACACAAATTGGCCATTTTGACTCATTTTCAGTGGGTGATGGTGTCTCACTTACTTACTTGTTCTTTCACTCATCCCTCCTATCACCAAGAACCAACTTTTTTCTGACAATTTCCCAAGGATCAACTTACAGAGAAGTGCCCATTTGCCATTTAAGACATCACTTCTGGGCTTGGCTAAGGCGATCATCATGAATGCAAGTACCTGAGCTTATTTTTCATGCTGGATGCTGTGCTGGCTGGTCTGCTCCAGGGCATCCAACTGGGCTCAGGCCACCTGCACACCAGACATCTGATCCTTTCTCATCTGAATGCCAATCCATACAGGTCCAGCTTTTTGGTTCTGTTTCCCAACCCATTCTCAATTCCTGGCTCTTTATCTAAATTTGGCATTTAGACTTTCTCCAACAGGCTTGGCTGTTCCTCTTGCTCACATTGTGCTAGAAAATGTAATAGAAAACCCATCTTTCACTCTGCAACCATAGAAACCAGCCCTAATGCTAGCCATTTAATAGCTGTGTCAACAGGAGCAACCCCCAGAAGTGTGGGGGGGTGGAGAGTACATACAGCCTGTGGGTCAAATTGAAGTGTAAAGGTCAAAGATAGTATTGAATTTCTATGGACAGCTCAGTGTGGAGAATTAAAATAAAATAATAAGGGTTTGATACTTATTTCCTTTAATGTTAAGTTGCAGCTGTGAAATTTTAACACCTGTAACTAGCATTTTAATCAACGTAAGAAATGGGATATAAGCATTTCTAGACTAATGTGAAAATCCTCTAGTTTTAGAAAGGAAACTTATTCTGCTACGAGAAACCTTTATCCAACCCTCTTGGAATTGACATACTACAAAATGTCACCTTATCGCGGCATCTCTATCCAGTGACAAGAGAAGTTTTGTGTTGATAAAAGATGGAAGAACCCATTTCTGATTGTTGACTCAGCACTTTGGTAATACAACACCAGTTTAATACACAATTAGCAAAATTAGGCTCCATTCCATCACTTAAACTTCTGCCTACGGAAGATGGCTGCGTCATTAGTCTGACAAAGTTGAGCCAAGGGACTCCGGGCTACACTGAACAGTGCTAAACCTTCCTGCTCTTCCCCCAACCCGTGCCCTACTTCTTGAGAATTTAATTTTCACCTTAATAGAGGGAGCAAGCATTCAAAAGAATTTTCTCTAGAATGGGTAATATTCAGAGATTACACTGGCTGTCTTAACCCTGAGAGAGCTGTTCATTTAGAGGGTCAAGGATCTCCAAAGGATTAAATGGAGTAAAGAATATAAAAATGCTTTATAAAGTGTAGATTTTATATAGGCAGAAAGAATGAATGCACATGTTCAATTGGGCATCACCATTATGTAAATCCTGCCGGGGCTCCAAGGTACCGTTCAAGTCTTCCCTCTATGAAGAAGCTTACAGGTGGGTCCCAACACTTCTCTCACTTCTGCTGCCCTATAGAGCCATGATTTGATATTTCACATGCATAACCTAGCACATAGCCTGCCTATTTTCTCTCAAACCCCTGCAGGCAAGTACCATGTGTCCCCACAAAATAGGCACTGGATGTTTGTTGACTAAGGGATCATGAAGAGATACATTTGTCAGGACAAGGAATTTCTAGACAGTCACATCTGATGCATTCGCGTTCTTCCAGCCCACCTCACCTCTGCCTTTAGACTTGCTGACACTGACATCCCAGGGTAGTTGTGAGCATCACAATAGTAGATAATGTAATTGGAAATTTCTTATGAAATACAGTGCATTGACTGCAAATAATTAATGTGGCAGGTAATGATGACAAGTCCCAAGCAGAATCTGTGTTTATGTCAAATTTAGATGATACATCAAACATCAGTTAGGTTGAGTAGAATTTCCTCCAGACAAGAGGTGGTAAGGTGGATTTTCTGGGATTCAGAAAATCTGAGTTCAACTTGTCTATTTGCCATTGGCTTTGTGTCTAGTCTGAGTTTGATGTTTTTTTCTCTTGTGAAATTAGGTGGCTGGACAGATTGATTTCTAAATTCTCCTTTGATTCTATAAGTAAACAAAATGTAAGATTTAGCATCTGATCATTTCATTTTCATAAAATGTGGCTGGGCAAAGAGTAAGAATAGCTTCTAGGAAATCCAGCATCGTGTTTCTTTTCCTCCAGTTCTGTTAGGTTGGAAAAGAAAAGCAATTCATTAATATGATCACTTTCATTCCATTCTTGTTCCAGAAGGTTTACATAAACAAACCTCCACAACAAAATAAAAGCATACATGAGATAAAAAGATGCCAATTTCTCAAGTTTAAATACAATCTTTGGTTCTGAAATTCTTGTGATATTGGATTCCATCTATTAACATAGATTATTCCAAAATTATTTTTTAGCAGAGCCCTTGCTGGGTGTGTGGCTCCAGGGAAGAGAGATACTTGGCAATAGAACAAGAATTAACATTTCAGTGCAAGGAATCTTGGTTAAATCTAAGCAGATATTTCATGAGTAAACTATGCAAAATCTCCTCGGTATAAGAGCTTAGGGGAATGATAACATTTCAGACTGGGATGCTCAAAGAACGCTTTACTGAGGAGTGTGATATGTTAGGATGTTTTAAAGAATGTAAAATGTACATTGAGTAGGGGATGCCAAGAATAATAGTGCAAAGGTGAAAACGTACAAAGGACGTTTTTCTGACAGTAAAGCAGCCAGAATGCAGAAGGTCAGATATGGTGGTGGTGGAAGATAAGGCTTGAAAAACAATTTATCGCTAACTGAGGATGACATTGAATGACACTGACCGGATGAACTTCAAAAGAATTTTATCCTTTGGGCAATAAGGAGTACATTCAAACTTTTTAAAATGATAGCAATGGATTGAAGTGTTTTATTTTTAAAAATTTCCATCATTCATCAGAATGAGTTTAAAGAGGAGAAAGTGACAACAAGCACAAAATTTAACATATTATTCCCAAAGTCCAGGTCTGCATTGACAAAATCCTGAACTTGGTGGATGGCGGTAGGAATTGGAAAAAAGGAGGAGAAGCAAAATAATGGGAAGAGAGAATTGTAGGTAGAAGCAACAAGTGAGGGGAGCAAGGCAAAGGCCTGTAAGGTTTTAGGTCTGGGACACTGAGCAAATTAGTGGTACTTTTATAAAGAAGAGGAAGTGCAGGAGAGTAAACATATTTTGAGGAGCCTAATGGGGTCTTCAGTATTTTAGACAGTGAATTTGGATAGCAGGAATAGAGCCTAGGTGGAGGTAAGTATGAGTCCAAGTGCCAAGAGGGGGTCTTCTCTGACTGAGAGTAGGTATCACAGTAAGGGCATTCTGGGGGTTGAGAGCAGGAGTGCTAGTCAAACCTGCTTTGCATTCACCAATGTGTGAACCTGGCCCTGAGGCAGGAGGGCTTGGATTTTGGGGTCAGACCCTCCAGGCTTTATCTCCCAGCCCCACCACTTGCTAGCTACTTGACTTTAGGTAAATGACTTTACCCCCTGTGCCAGTTTCCCCTCCTGTAAAAAAGAGACAGTAATAGTGCCCTACCATTAGGATTGAGTAAATAGATCTATATAAGGTGTTTGGGACGCTTGGGAACACCAGCCTTCACAATCCCAACGTCCGGGACAAGCCGGGCCTGGAGCGCTTCGTGGCCATGAACCGGGGCATCAACGAGGGTGGGGACCTGCCCCAGGTGCTGCTCAGGAACCTCTATGACAGCATCCGAAATGAGCCCTTCAAGATTCCTGAGGATGATGGGAATGACCTGACCCACACCTTCTTCAACCCGGATCCGGAGGGCTGGCTCCTTAAGCTGGGAGGGGCCGGGTGAAGACGTGGAAGCGGCGCGGGTTTATCCTCACAGACAACTGTCTCTACCATTCTGAGTACCCCACCGACAAGGAACACCACAGAATTATCCCCCTGGAGAATCTGAGCATCCGAGAAGTGGATGACCCCCGAAAACCGAACTGCTTTGAGCTTTACATCCCCAACAACAAGGGGCAGCTCATCAAAGCCTGTAAAACAGAGGCGGCCGGCCGGGTGGTTGAGGGGAACCACATGTGGTTGAGGAGAACCACATGGTGCACCGGTTCTCGGCCCGACCCAGGAGGAGAAGGAGGAGTGGATCAAGTCCATCCAGGCAGCAGTGAGTGTGGACCCCTTCTATGAGATGCTGGCAGCAAGGAAGAAGCGGATTTCTGTCAAGAAGAAGCAGGAGCAGCCCTGCCCCCCTGCCCCCCAACCGCATTATTTATTACGGAGCTGCCTTACCCGGGTGGCCGGACCCCTGGGTCCCGGGGCTGCGGATCCTGGTTCTCTGTTTGGAAAATTCACCACCACTAGCTCCTCTCTCGTTATTTGTAATTTAAAAAAAAATGAAATTAAATTAAATTACCTTTTCTAAGATTTGATTTTTCCTGTGTATAATTAGGATTGTAATAGTATTTATTTATAGACCTACTATGAGAATTAAACACGAAAAAAGTACACAAAACTCTCAGCAAAATGCCTCTTTGGTAGCAAGAGCTCACTTTTGAATAACCACTTAATTCAATTATCCAATAAATATCTATCATGCGCCCCCTGCATGCCAGGCACTCTCCTAGTAACTGGGAGCGTGACAGTGAAGGAAACAAACAGTGAAGGCGCTCATCTTACTGGGGAGAGGCCAGCAATCTCATGCCATGTGAAAAAAGGAAAGCAGGTCCAGGGCACTGAGAAGGATGCGCGTGGGCTTAGGCAGAGTGGTAAGGAAATACGTCCCTGGAGAGGTGACATTTGAGCAGAGTTTCAGCTGAATGCAATGAGGGGAAACCCAAGCAGTAAACCTGCATGGGGTGTGAGCCCGGGTGGGGAGGGTCGGGAGAATAGTTTCCAGACAGAGCCAACCACGCATGCGCTGCCGCCTTGCGCTTGTGTGCAGGTGCCTTGTAGTCTGGAGGACCGCTGGGCTCGGGGAAGCTGGGACACCGAGGAGGGTGTAGAGGGAGGTGAGGTCTGATGAGAGCAGTTCCTGGAAAACAGTGCGGTCCAACAGAAGTAAGATGCCAGCTGTGTATGTAATGCTGTTAACATTTCTAGTAGCTACGTTTCTGAAAGGAAGAGAAAGAGGTGAAATTAACCCAATGTCGCCAACACATTCTGTTAACACGCAATCGCTATAAAAACTATTAACCAGAAATGTATAATATTTTTTCTTTCTTTCTTCCGTTTTGTGCACTGTATCTTTCAGACCTGGTGGGCACTTTCCACTTAAAACACATCTCAATTCAGACCAGTCACATTTCAAGTGCTCAGTTGCCACATGTGGCCCGTGGCTACAATCCTGGGTGGCACCAATATAGCGTAGAGAGTGTAATAACTCATGGGAAGGAATCTGGATTTTATTCTGTGAGGAATAGGAAGTCATCGGGGGGGTTAGAGGGCTGGGGGAAGGTGTGTGTGTGTGTGTGTGTGTGTGTGTGTGTGTGTGTGTTGCAGTGTGAGGGATGGGGAATATCATGATTTGATTTTGTCTTTAAATTGTCACTCGATAGGTGGCTCACCAAGTATAAATCTTACTTCTTACACTTGGTTAAACAAAAAATATCTCCTAGACTTACTTCTTTAAAATCACATTAAACCCAGTTCCAAACTCTTTTTGTCAGGTGGACGAGAAATTTATTTCCAAAGATTTTTGTGATTCCACTTCCATTTTTTTTTTCCTTCTTTCAACATTTTTAACTCATGGATTCAGTGTTTCTGTGGTTGGAGTAGAGCAGGTAGTCAGGGCCAAAGCATGGGAGTCCATTCCAAGCACCAGTTTACTCTGGGTGTTATTGAGATGCCCATTTCCAGAGCCCAGGTATTCCCGGAAGTCTGTGGCTTCCATCCCATCTATGGCACAAGTACGTAGCAGAGTGGGAGGCTGGTATCCTGGTGCCCTGCCTTCCTAGTGCACCTTGCAGGGTCCTGTCACACTTTCCAAGGAGTTCTTTATGTTATGAGCTACACTGGTTTTCCTTTCCTTTCCAGGCCTGGAGACAAATTTTTCCCATTTCTCTTTCTTTCTCCCCTCCCCAAAGAATACCTTGGATGATCCTTTCAATCACTCAGATTTCAAAAGAGACAGAAAGAAGGGTTGTCTTCTGCAGCTCCTGTTCTCCCACCCCCTGCCTCTTGAATCTCTGAAGCAAAGAATTTGAATGGGCTTGACTACCTGCTCAGAACAAATGAATGAGAAATAAAGGGAACAAATGCAAATTAGTACCTCCGTGACTTACCTGCCACACCAGCTCTTATTATGGCATAGAAGACCTTTAATTGGTGGTTGGATATTTCTAACATCTCTGAACTGGATAGATTCACATCAACCAGAAGTGTGATCTACGTGAGGCTCTGCAAAAGCATAAAAAGCAAAGAAATGATTGCTAGATGATTTATTCATTTCTGATTTTCTTCATGTTTAAATCTTGCTCCTCAAAGTGAGATCCTTGAACCATCAGCGTTGGCATTCTCTGAGAGTTAGAAATGCAGCTTCCCAGGTAACCCCACAGTTCTAGGAATCAAAAGCCACATAGTAACAAGATTCCCCAGGTGAGGGATGTGAACACTCAAGTGTGAGAAGCTCTGATCTAAGACACAGTGACTCTAATTTGAAGCTTAGATTTGTTGTCAGCCAGTGACTCTTCCTGATAAATTAAACCATCAAAGGTAATAGCCAGGTGCCTGTAATGTGTATGGTGCTGAACTCAAGAATTGCAGGGACGCATAACAGTGTAAGACAGTCTTTGCCTTCAAGGAGCTCATGGTCTCATCGGAAAGATAAGATACAAACACATGAAAAGTGAGTAAGCATCTAACAGAGTTCAGACAATAGCATGCCAACAGGAGTTTATAATAGCCAGGTGTTTAGGGGATAGAGAGGACTTCAGCCAAGTTTGAAAGATGGGAAGGATTTCTCACTCCAAATTATAGAACTTTATTCTCTTTGTATTTAAGGTCACTGGGAGAAAAAAAAATTCCCGGTAATAAAGAATTACAAGCCAGAGGCAGACCACACTTCTGAGAAAAGCAATGAAGTGTCTTTCTCTATATACAAACTTAAGCATGCCATTAGAAAGACTCCATAAGGTGACACTTGCCTGCCAGATTTCTTTTTTCCTTGAGGCCTGTTTGGTGGCAGAGTGCTGAGGAGAAATAGCCTACAACATATTCTTGTAAGTAGCAGATGTGTGTCCTTGCAAATGGGGGTCACAGCTCAAACGTCAGGCCACACCTGTTGTTTCCAACCAATGTGGGCAGTTTGCAGAGATAGAAATTGAAAATTCCATGACTATACATATTATATTCTTCGTAAGCTAAAGTCTTCTATTTACTTCAACAGAAAAATCTTGAGAGGAATGCAGGGCACAGCTCTTCCTGATGAGCTTGTTCAGAGGTTCAAGGAATCAGAGGTATTTGGTGATGATGGTAAGGGCCCCAAAGTTGGAGCCACACAGCAGACCAGAAAAAGATGCTATGGTTTTCCCCATTTGAGCTCTTTCTTCTTCAGTATTAATAAAACTTAATGGAAAGCCCTACCTTTTGTTGAACTCATAATCTTATTTTAGCATTTTAATGGTTATTCTTTATGACTTATAGGGGCCACATAGCCCATAATGCACAATTAGAGGTAGCATGCCCTTTCCAGGGTCAATGGCTCTACACAACTTTTGTACATATGATTGGTGTATTATACTTTTATTATTTGATTAGCTTTGGCAATCAGGAATTTAAGTCATAACTGAATCATGTCAAGTACATTTACATTGCACATGAATCCAAGAAAAGAATGTGATGAGTACACCATAGGTTTAATTCAGGGTTATCTAATTGTTTTATCCTAAAATACAGCTCCTCTCATCTCGCTGAACCCACACACTAAATTAGGGACTTCTGGCTGCCAGAATTCATTTGTGTTCATGGATTTTCACTTTGAAAACTTCCAAAGGAGACCAGGAATCCTGCTGATAGCAGAGTAAGCCTCAGCTATGAAAGTCAAACTGGTGATAAATATGAAGAAAACCTTAATCAGTTTTAATGAATACAAATAGCATAATGCCGGGATCAGGGGAGTCCGGGGAAATGTTTAGCATGGTTCGTGGGTGGAATTCAACAATTTTTTAAAAGAGAGACTGTTGGAGAAAAGGGCTTCTGATTGTGGCAAACAGTAATGGTGGAGGATTTATTCATGCTTATAGAATACGTCTTTCAAGGCTCAGGCTTTTAAAAAAAAAATTCCTTCTCTATTCAAGGCAGCATGAACTTCCATTGAGCCGTGGAGTGAGTAACTGTCAGTTGGAAAGAATGGCAAACTGAGCTCTGTCCCTGAAGCTAGTCCAAGCAAAGGAGAGAAGCCGAGTGCACACTGGTTAGGCAGGTTCTTGATTTAGACTTTCTGGGCTCAGATCCTGGTTTTTCCAGTGTATTCCAACACTCAGAGGAAGCCTAGCTCTGTTGGATTTACTGAAAAGCAGTTATGTGTGTTTTCTCTGACTCTACCAGACAAGTTACTTTGTGTCTCTGTGACCCTGGTTCCCCATCTGTAAGAGGAGACGGTAATAACAATTCTGTGCCTATTAGAAGAGTATCTATATAATGTAGATATATATACACATATGTAAATGTATATATGAATATATTTATTACATATAGATACACATATCTTAGAAGAAGCCCTGGTATATACACTGCAAACATCGGTGTTTGTTCCTATTGATGTGGTTGTAATAATAGTAATAATAATAATAATAATAATAATAATTGTTATTGGAGTTGAGTTATAACTGAATTGGCATTACAGGAAAACAAATTAACAGCATGACCCCATGGAATACAACCGTTTCTACGTCTATTAGTTTCCTTAGGGTGTTAAAAATATGGAGAAATGGCTTTCAATGGAGATCTTGAACTGGCAGCCATGGGTTAGAAATGCAAAGACTTAGCCAGTGGGAGAAGTGGCAGTGCTTAAGATATTTGAGGAAGGTCCCAGAGAAGATGATGTCTAAATTGAGCTCTTAAGGATGAGAAGTTAGCTGAGCAAAGGTAGAGATGGAGGGCATGTACAGAAGTCCAGAGGCAAGGGAAAGTATTGCTCTTTTAGAGAATGCAAGTAGTCGGACTTCACTGGAAGTGGCAGCAGGATAGATACAAGGGTGGTGGGAGAAGAAGCATGCAAAGAGCAGAGAGAAGGCTGTGAACAGCTCCTATGTCATGCCAAGGACTCTACACTCATCCCAAGGATGATGGGAAGCAGGTGAACGATTGCACACAGGGAAGTAAGAGGGAGCCATGATCAACTCCGTGCTCTTGACCTATCATGCTGGCCACAATGTGGTGAATGTTTTGAGGAAAATGGTTTGAGGAAAAATACTAGAGAGAAAA